TAAAAAAAAATTAATAAAAAATAATAATAATAAGCCTCCAATTCCAGAAGTGATTTATGGTGGAACATGAGTGCTGTTCAGCAGATAAGAGTGAATTAAAAAGAAAGAGAAACTCTTTCCCAATTGACGAGAGTGGAGAAGAGTTCCCTGAATGAGGTCTTCGACTTAAAGTAAACTGAGGCAGTAGGTTGCATCTCTCGGGCTTGGGTTGCGTGCCTTGTGAGTTGCCCTTAGGCACCTCTAAGGCCACATCAAGCTACTTATTTCCATGGAAATCAGCCCTGGAACAACAAATTGGGCAGTCCCAGTTTCCAGAATGAGTACCCCCGTAAGGTTTATACTTATGTGGGGGCTTAGCTGGGGTGGGAAGACGTGGCCCAAACATGTCAGGCTTTGGGTTGTCTTCCCTGCTGGTGCGCTAGATATGTAAAACAGGGGGCTTTACAGCCAAGGTCAAGTTTAACATCAAACATATGATGCTGTCAGATGGCCGCGGCCTTCTATGGACAAGGATGGACCAACTTTATCACGCAGGGTGACCTTTAGCTTCCAGCACTGGGTTGGAGCTACTTAAACCCAGACTGGATCCTGGCTCCACACCAGGGTTTCGAACAGGTTTGTTTCAATATAAACCCCCGCTGAGAATTTGCATTTCTAACAAGTTCCCAGGCGAAGATGCTGATGCTGCTGGTTAGGGACCAATTCTGAGAACCACTAGTAAAGCAGTGGTTCTCAAAATTTATTACATTGAAGAATCACCTGGGGATCTTATGAAAATGTAGATTCTGATTCAGTATATCTGGAGTGGAAATGCATATTCTCAGCAGGGTTTCCAGCCATAACTAACTGGTTCAAAGCCCAGCTCCAAACCTAGCTTCTGGTTATCTGAATACAGCAGGCCTGTTCCCCACACACCTGGACTGTGTTAACATAACACAGTGACTATTATAATGGGATTTAAAAAACCCAGTATTCTCCACCTACTCCCTCAAAGGGCTACTTAAAGAATGGAGACCTTTCCCCTCCCTTGACCCCAACCTCTCCAAAGAGATTTGTATGTTATAAAAATTATCTGAATGCAGCACACTACCTCTTCTAAGTGTGCTCAGTTGAATGTGACAACAACCCTCATAAAAACAAATAAGTTAATTCCTTCAACTGCTTTAAATGAAGGATTTTTTTTTTTTTTTTTACATTTCAGGGCTCTGAGGGAAAGGAGGTGTTTGGTGACATCTAGTGTCCATTTAGGACTTCCTCAGGCACCATACCCTCTCTTGGCTGAGTGGGGGATGGGTGAGGGGGTGTATCAGAGGTAATTTGGGGTAGTAAGTGGGTAGAATATAGGCCTGGGGCACAGGCTGCCCAATCAGTGTGATAAAACTCACCAATGCCTGTCAAAGAGCTAGTATTCACCTCTGACCTAACCAAAGGGGCCAGGTGATGGGGATACCATCAGAAAATATCTTTCCTTATTTATGATGGTACGAAAGAGAAGCAGAAGCTGTCCCACTACCCCATTTCATGTTAACAAGCAGGTCAGCACTGTGCTGTGATGATGAAGATGATGATGATGATGGTGTTTTCTCTCATTAATAACCCCTATAGGAGGCTATAGAGTTAGGAGGATGGGAATGGGATTTGGGGTCAGCTGGAAGGCAACGGTCATACACCGGTCAAATTCAGTAGAGGCCATTCCTTTCCCCCAGACAGGAACCAATCGTCTAGAACAAACCCTGGCAGCCTCATTCCTTCCAGGTAATTTTTATAAATGAGGGGACACCCATTCCAAGAGAGGACAAAAGGGAGAGAGTGTGTTGTGTGTGTATGCGTGTGCATATGCATACATGTAAACCTGCTAACAAGAGGCCCAACTGCACGTCAACCTTACCCTCCAAACCTTAGTCGTTTATTATAAAACCCATTTTTAAAACAGAGAACAAAACTGGCATTTTCCTCTTTAATTTTCTTACTCCTAAACTGTTGTCCTGGACAGGACGTTTGGGTTTACACACACACACACACACACCATTCAGTGAGGTGGAAAGTCCCAGGCCAGAGAATTAACTATGAGACCCAGAGAGAAGTATTTACCTAGAACCACATAAGCAATGACAGGATTAGGTTAATGCTCAGAATCACCCAATGCTTTATAAACTCCAGTGTAAAAAACTCCAGCCATTTATTTTGCAGTGAATTTATAACAAATGCTGTTAAAGGCTTCATCTTTTGACAGAGGTAATAATAAATTCACTGTTAAAGACGGTAGTTTAATTCCTTATACCTCCAGTACTGCACAGAATAAACCATATTCATCACTGAGTAATTTTTTACCACATAAATCTTTAAAACTAACCGGTGAAGGCTGTTGAGATGGAAATATTGTGAATTTATTAGATATGCCCATGTAGTATTGGATTCAGAGGTTTCCATTCGAACAGATTATGGGGAAAATTTGTGTCTTTAACTGTGACATTCTCTCTATTTCCCACCGCCAGTATTATAACAAGCAGCTCCACCAGAGTCAACTGCACGTTTATTAAACAGAGATTTAGTAATAAACTCCTCACTAATCTGCCAAAGAGGCCTGATGGCATTTTGGTGAGGTACCCTATTTAAGAGGAGTCACAGAAGCTTTGTTTCCATGTAATTATTTTCTCAAAAGGAATCTAGCCTTCCCAACCTTTGTCGGCAGTGTTTCTTGGTGGTGTATGGATTCAGCTCTATGACCCAACTAGCAAATATTGAAGCAAATTATAACCTCAGTGGAGACATACAGGACAGTAACTTCTATGCAGCTTATAGGACTAGTTATGGAGTATTTGGGGTAATTGGTTAGAACATAGAAAAGCTGGAATTAGCAGACATTGCCAGCTGTATGGTGTTTAAGGCTAATAAAAAGATTGTATTGATTCTCAAACTAGAAATAATAGACAAACTTGCTATTTAAAAACTTTTATTTTAACATATGACACATTCAGGATACAATTAAACCCTCAGATTTGAACAAAAATCCTTTTACTCTATCTTACAAATTTTGAGTGAAAATCTGTGCCTGATAGATGTGAATATTCTGAACCTTTCTCATGATTTGCTAGTGAAATGACATTTAAACTAACCAATTGGTTATATCAAATTATAATGCTCTCTCCAGTTTCATTAAGGAAACATTAATGTTGCTGGAATGAAAAAAAAATTTTTTTTTCTTTTAGATGCAGAAATGCACATCATTTTTTAGCAAAGAGCTTCGGCAGTTTCTCTGTTCCCAGTAATATTCTATATTTGGAAAGATTTCCAAATGCTGAAGACTTCAACGAGCGTCATGAACTTTAAGATTTTTTTTTTTTAATTAAATCAAATAGGTTTTTAACTGTTAAACAAAGGAGAAAAATCTCCTGGCAGTGCAAGACTGCAGCCCATCAGAATAATTGTTAAAAGACAGAACCCGGCTAGAAAGATAAGCATAATCCAGCAATTAATATTCAGCATTTCACATTATAGTCAAGAGGATGTGTTTTTCTTTGTGATGTGGCTCATAAGCTAAGAGTGTTGGGAGCCAGACACTGAGCTTTGTCTTCCTTTTGTGCATGAGGATCAAGGAGAAAAAAACAGTGGCAACCACCCTGCTCCATCTGTAAATGAACAAACGTCTTGATTTTATAGCGATTTGCTTTGTAAAACTGAGGAGTGAAAAATAATTACTGGATGCCTAAGTAACACTTTAATTCTGAATTCATTTACGCTGTAGCTATGTAGTTGTCACAAACCATAATGCACTATTTAATTAACAGAAGTGCATCTAGATATGTCCTGGGGTAGCTATACCAAATTATAGTCTATGCTATCCGTATTTTATTTATGAAATGGCAGATCCTAAGGTGCAACTAAGCTGATACAAAAGCATAAGCATTTTAAACCTGCATTTTTATAAACGCTTCTGCCTGCGCGTCTTTAAATTTTTCCTCCTACAGGAGGGGTTTTAGTGGGCTTGTTTTGATGTTAATAAAGATCTCTCTTTCTTAACACTTGCTTTTCAACTATTGACCTCCTAAGTCTTCTGGCTGTGAAATCCCCCGTCTGTTGTCATGGAAAGGCTTGTGAGGTTTCACAGGAGCCCCAGCAAACATGGGACATCTTAGGTGGAACTTGGACGTGGATTCCAGGAGGGTAGAAAAAAGCAAACCTTTTCGGGCTCTGTGCTTGTTCCCACACAGTCTTCCTGGAACCTTTTTTCCCGCCTATAAATACCCGTTATAGTTTACACGCTTGCTTGCTCTACTTTGTGGATGTTCACATGCAGACATACTGCTCCTTTTCATAAACGCATAGCATCTATCTTACACGCACCCACCATCTATCTCCTCGTTCACATTGGCTGTCCCATCCACCTCCTTGTCTGCAGAATTATGTTCAGCAAGGTCCCGATTTATAGGAAATAAATAATGAAAATGGAACGGACTAGGAAAGATAATCGAAACATTCAAATTGTTATTTTTCACTCTACTTTCCACAAACAGAGCATCTGTAAACACCTAGAAAAGGTGTTGGCTGATTCCTAAAAAGCAATGCCTCGTAGAACACTCTGACAGAGTGAGTCTCTACACTGTATGTTTCCTATTCCCTGTCTCCTGCTTTTTGACGCTCCAAGATCTTGCCATTTTTAAATAGCAAATGATGTCATGTTATTATTTTTATTTGTTCTGCTTCTTATTTATCCTTTCTATAATTACAAATTTTTGTCATCATGTACCCT